TAATATGCCCCGCTGGCCGAACATGAGCAGCCCCGCACAGGGGGTACGCCGTGCCGACTGCACGAGTGCAACCAAAAGAGCTCCACGAGGGCCCCGCGGGGCAAACATCGCCCCAATTCCGAGGATAAACGCGCATGCTTAGCATGCTCGCCGTATCGATCCGAAGAGCGTCCACAATGGCCAAAACAGGCACAGATCCTCAAAATCTCTCAGAATCTCTCAGAATCACTCAAAACGTGTCAGAATCTGTCAAAGTTTTGAGAATCTCTGAGAATCTCTCAGAATCTCTCAGAACCTTTGAGCATCTCTGAGAATCTCTGAGAATCTCTGAGAATCTCTCAGAACCTCTGAGAATCTCTGAGAATCTTTCAGAATCTCCCAGAATCTCTCAGGATCTCTCAGAATCTCTCAGAATCTCCAAGGATCTCTCAGAATCTCTCAAAATCTGTCAGAATCTCTCAGGATCTCTCAGAATCTCTCAGAATCTTTCAGAATCTCTTAGAACTTGGTTAATCTTTCAGGTAGGACGGGGGAGAGAGGGTGGAGGGGGGGGCCGAAGGTAGGGGTGGAGATGTGGGGTGGGTTGGCAGGAAGCGGGAGGTTCAGATGGGGAGTTTGGAGGTAGGGTGAGGAGTGAGGGGCGACGTGGGGACAGGGGTAGGGGTAAGTAAGCAGGAGTAGTGAGGGACCGGAGAGGGGAAGGGCGGGGGAGGGGGAGAAGGGGGAGGTAGGCGTAGGTGGGCGGGACGGGGTATAACCTCTCAGAATCTCTCAGAATCTTTCGGAATCTCTCAGAATCTGTCAGAATCTCTGAGAATCTATCAGAATCACTCAGAATCTTTCAGAACCTCTCAGACTCTCTCGGAAGCTCTCAGAATCTCCAAGAATCTCTTAAAATCTCTCAGAATCACTCAGAACGTGTCAGAATCTCTCAGAAGCTTTCAGAATCTCTCAGAATATCTCAGAAGCTCTGAGAATCTCTGAGAATCTCTCAGAACCTCTGAGCATCTCTGAGAATCTCTGAGAATCTCTGAGAATCTCTCAGAATCTCTGAAAATCTCTGAGAATCTCTCAGGATCTCTCAGAATCTCTCAAAATCTTTCAGAATCTCTCAGAATCTCTCAGAGGCTTGCAGTGGGTCTCCGAAACTTGCAGAGGCTTGGAGCTTTGCAGAGGCTCCAAAGTGGTTGGGATCTCACGCGTCCCACGTGTCGTTGACGGTTGGGATCTGAACCGTCCGGTTGGGATCTCACGCGTCCGGTTGGGATCTGAACCTTTCTCGCACGGGGAGACATGGGGGGGGGACGGGGAGCCACGGTCGGGCAGGGTGGGGGGGGGGGCACGGTCGGCCGGTCGGAATTGACAGGAGGGCACGGAGGGAAGGGGGGGGCACGGGGGGCCACAATCGGCCAGGAGGGGAGGGGCACGGTCGGTCGTTCGGAATAAGCAGAGGGGGGCACGGGAGGAAAGGGGGGCACGGGGCACGGTCGGGCAGGGGGGGGACACCGTCGGTCACCGACACATCCCGGCACCGAGCACACCGAAGCAGTACACCGACACATCGCAGCACGCATCCCAGCACACCCAGGGGGGCCACGGCCAGCACATGCCGCAGCGCTCCGAGGCAAGCACGCCCCCCCAGCGCACATCCGAGTACGTCCACATATCTCAGCACACCGATCCTGGCACACCAATGCGAGGCAGTATGCGGACACATCCCAGCACCGAGCACACCGAGGCAATATCCCAGCACCGAGCACACCGAGACAGTACACCGACACATCCCAGCACGCAGCCTGGCCCAGCACACCGAGGCAGTCACGCATCCCAGCACACAGAGCCCAGCACATATCCCGAGCACGGACGGTCGGTCGAAATAATGCAGTGCGAGATCACACGGGTAGATATGATATGAACTCCTCCCTGTCGCACCCCAAGGCCAGTCCTCAAGGGCGGGCCGGGCGTTTCACCTGAGACTTCCTTACCATTCATCATCCTCAAACTAACATGATCGACCCACGAACCCGGAAAAAGGAATATAAAAATGTAAGGCATGGCAGCGTTTCAAAGACACCTGATTGGGCGACGGGCAAATGCAATGCTGAATGTATCGATCTTGATGTACTGTGCCGAGGGCTGTGCTGTGCTACGCCGTGCTGACCTGCGATGTGCCATGCCGCGATTGTGCTCTATATAGCGTTGTGGATCGAGTCTTCCCTGGCATCCGAGTCCTGAGTCCTGACCGAACTGATCTGGATCTTAAGCTCGAGCTGCCTGAGCAGATGGTAGCTGCCCCAAAACTGATCGACAGGGGGGACATGCCAGGAGGACGCGCCGCGGAACGTCCCAAGGGACGCGCCAGGCGACGTGCCAGGGGACGTGCAATGGGCACGCACCGCGGAATGTGCCAAGGGGACGCGCTACGGAACGTGCCAATGGACGTGCCGCGGGACGTGGCAGGGGACGCGCCGCGCGACGTGCCAGGGGGACTCGCCACGGAACGCGCCAAAGAACGTGCCAAGGTGCAATGTTGACTGCATCGATCTTGATGTACCGTGCCGACGGCTGTGCTGTGCTGGGCCGTGCTGAACTGCGATGTGCCATGCCGCGATTGTGCTCCATATCTATATATATATATATATACATACTTATATGTATGTATATATAGCGTTGTGGATCGAGTCCTCTTACCATCCGAGACCTGACCGAACTGATCTTGATCTTAAACTCGAGCTGTCTGAGCAGATGGTAGCTGCCCCAAAACTGATCGACAGGGGGACATGCCAGGAGGACGCGCCGCGGAACGTCCCAAGGGACGCGGCAGGCGACGTGCCAGGGGACGTGCAATGGGCACGCACCGCGGAACGTGCCAAGGGGACGCGCTACTGAACGAGCCAATGGACGTGCACCGCGAGACGTGCCAGGGGGACTCGCCACGGGACGCTCCGCGGAACGTGCCAGGCAACATGCCAGGCTGCAATGCTAAGGGTATCGATATTGATGTACTGTGCCGAGGGCTGTGCTGTGCCTGGGCGACCTGGACACGCGAAAACACGCGTTTCGCTCAAGACGTTCTCAGCACATCCTTATGCTAGACATCCGCCTGGGCAACCTGGACACGTGCAAACAAGCGTCTCGATTGAGACTTCCTCGACACCGCTTCATGCTAGACATCCGCCTGGGCTACCTGGACACGTGAAAACAAGCCTCTGGTTCGAGACATCCTCAACAAATCCTCATGCTACACATCTGTCTGGGCAACCTGGAGGCGGGAAACTAAGCGTCTCACTCGAGAAATCCTCAAGACCTGGGCACGTGAAAACAAGCATTTCACTTGAGAGATCCTCTGAATTCAGGTCCCCAGGAGAGGACAATATTTAACACAAAACAAGCGTTGCGCTCGAGACATCCTCAACAAATTCTGGGAAACAAGCGTTTCGCTAGGGACATCCTCAAATGTTGATTCGCCGGCCCACCTCGACCTCGATATTTATCGCAAAAGAAATTCGACGGCTCACCTCAAGTCAAAATCGGGGGTACACAAACTAAAAGAGAACCCTGGGTATATGCCCTTTCCGGAAAAAACTGGCAACTGTTTCACAAGCGGAGGGCCAGCAGCTTCCAACATGTGGCTCTCGCCATCGCGCCGCGCACATTCTTTCAAACAGTGAAAGAGTGTCACGAATTGAAAGCGGGCCGTCGATATCTCTCGCCTTAGCGCCGCGCACATTCGTCTTAAAATTCGCAAGAGTCACGGAGTTAGCGCGGGTGCTTTTCAAAATGTGTCTCTCGACTTCGCGCCGCGCACATTAGGCTTCAAACAGCTGCAAGAGCTGCACGGATTGAGGGCGGGTCGTTTTCAAAATGTAGCTAGCGCCTCATTGCCGCACACAGTCGCTTTGAATGTTGCAAGCCTTTTACTGATTAAGAGCGGGCCGACTGCAAGATCTTTAAGCAAATGCCTCCCAACGTGGCGCTTCCTTCAGCTGAGCTGAATCTGTATAGGTGCCTATGAAGAGAGAGCTTGCAGGGTTTCTTCCAACATTGTTGATGGTTATTGGGCTACACTGGTCGACGTCTTCCTCCTCCTCCTCATCATTCCTCGTTCCTCATTGCTCTTTCCTATTGGATCCTTGTGTTGGAAGGGGCGATGGCTTGAGCTGGGGAGGGAGGGAAGAAGAGAATGGGAGGATGTAGGGAGGAGGATTGATGGACAGGTGGGGTGGGAAGCAGGGAGAAAGAAGAGAGGGGAGGACAGGAAGGGAGGGGGATTGAGATGCCGCTCTGAAGAGGCCACGGGGTCTCCATCCTCTTCAGGATCTCGCCACAGCGGATGCCGCAAAAGCGACTCGTGATCTCTGGTCGCTGAGGCTTCCTTGTGAAGTCCAGAGAACGTCTGGAGTGCGGCCTCTCAGACACCTGTGCACTGTGCACGGTGCCAGAAGCGCAACACCCAGCAACACTACGACCGCCAAATTGCAGGGGTGCCTTCGCGCCCAATTAATGCTGAACCGGCATTCCCTTGAATCGCTGCCAGTGACGAGGAAAACGCAAAAATCCGCCACGCCCTCGAGGAGCAGTGAGGACTCCCAACTCCATGTCATCGAAGTATTCCAGCAAGACCCCGATCAAAAGCAAAGCCACAGAAGCAGCAGCATTCAGCAGCCATCGGTTGCGACAAGCAGCAGCAGGGAGGGAGAAAGAAAGGACGGAGGAAGCGAAGGATGAGAGGGAAGAGAAA